TCCAGCTGTTCCCCCATTCCAGCTGTTTTCCCCGTTCCAGCTGTTCCCCCATTCCAGCTGTCCCCCAATCATTCCAGCTGTTCCCCCATTCCAGCTGTTCCCCAATCATTCCAGCTGTTTCCCAGCTGTCCCCCCGTTCCAGCTGTTCCCCAGCTGTTCCCCAGCTGTTTCCCCGTCCCAGCTGTTCCCCCATCGATCCAGCTGTTCCCCCCCGTTCCAGCTGTTCCCCACCATTCCAGCTGTTCCCCAATCATTCCAGCTGTTTCCCAGCTGTCCCCCCGTTCCAGCTGTTCCCCAGCTGTTCCCCAGCTGTTTCCCCGTCCCAGCTGTTCCCCCATCGATCCAGCTGTTCCCCATATCCAGCTGTTCCCCCATTCCAGCTGTTCCCCCATTCCAGCTGTTTTCCCCGTTCCAGCTGTTCCCCCATTCCAGCTGTCCCCCAATCATTCCAGCTGTTCCCCCATTCCAGCTGTTCCCCAATCATTCCAGCTGTTTCCCAGCTGTCCCCCCGTTCCAGCTGTTCCCCAGCTGTTCCCCAGCTGTTTCCCCGTCCCAGCTGTTCCCCCATCGATCCAGCTGTTCCCCATATCCAGCTGTTCCCCCATTCCAGCTGTTCCCCCATTCCAGCTGTTTTCCCCGTTCCAGCTGTTCCCCCATTCCAGCTGTCCCCCAATCATTCCAGCTGTTCCCCCATTCCAGCTGTTCCCCAATCATTCCAGCTGTTTCCCAGCTGTCCCCCCGTTCCAGCTGTTCCCCAGCTGTTCCCCAGCTGTTTCCCCGTCCCAGCTGTTCCCCCATCGATCCAGCTGTTCCCCATATCCAGCTGTTCCCCCATTCCAGCTGTTCCCCCATTCCAGCTGTTTTCCCCGTTCCAGCTGTTCCCCCATTCCAGCTGTCCCCCAATCATTCCAGCTGTTCCCCCATTCCAGCTGTTCCCCAATCATTCCAGCTGTTTCCCAGCTGTCCCCCCGTTCCAGCTGTTCCCCAGCTGTTCCCCAGCTGTTTCCCCGTCCCAGCTGTTCCCCCATCGATCCAGCTGTTCCCCATATCCAGCTGTTCCCCCATTCCAGCTGTTCCCCCATTCCAGCTGTTTTCCCCGTTCCAGCTGTTCCCCCATTCCAGCTGTCCCCCAATCATTCCAGCTGTTCCCCCATTCCAGCTGTTCCCCAATCATTCCAGCTGTTTCCCAGCTGTCCCCCCGTTCCAGCTGTTCCCCCGTCCCAGCTGTTCCCCAGCTGTTCCCCAGCTGTTCCCCAGCTGTTCCCCAGCTGTTCCCCCCCCGTTCCAGCTGTTTCCCAGCTGTTTCCCGTCCCAGCTGTTCCGGACTGCAGCTCCCGGCACTCCCCGCAGTTCCCGGGACGCCGCCGCCGCCGCCGCCGCCGCTCCGGGGCCCTTCCCGCTCCGGAGGCTCCGGGGGGGTCCCGGGGCTCTTTGGGGGGGTCCCGGGGGTCTCTGGGGGATCCCCGGGGGTCTCGGGGGGTCCCCGGGGGGTTTTGGGGGGTCCCCGGGGGGTTTTTTGGGGTCTTTGCGGGAGGGGCGATGGCGGAGCCGCTGCTGCGCCGGACCTGGTCCCGCCTGAGGCGGAGCGGAGCCCGAGCGGCGCGGGAGGCCCCGAGCGGCGGTGAGACCCCCGGAACGGGACCCCCGCCCCAAACGGGAACTCCACCGAAAGGGACCCAAACCCCTCAAAAAGGGGGAAAGCCCCAAAAGGAGGGACCCGCCCCCCAAAAAAGGGACCCCAAACCCCCCAAAGGAGGGTCCGGTCAGAGCCCCCCGGCCACTTTTGGGGTCCCCTTTGAGGTCACTTTTGGGGTCACTTTGGGGTCCCTTTTGGGGTTTCAGGGGGGTCTGGTTAGAGCCCCTTGGTCACTTTTGGGGTCACTTTGGGGTCATTTTGGGGTCACTTTGGGGTCACTTTTGGGGTTTCAGGGGGATCCGTCCAGAGCAGCTCCAGGGAGCCCCAAAATCGCCACGAGGAGCCCCAAAATCATCGCAGGGAGCCCCAAAATCGCTTCGGGGCACCCCAAAATCACCATGAGGAACCCCAAAATCACCCCAGGGAGCCCCAAAATCATCGTGGGGAGCGCCAAGAGCCCCAAAATCGCTGTGGGGAACCCCAAAATCCTCGTGAGGAACCCCAAAATCCCTCTGGAGAGCCCCAAGACCACCACGGGGCACCCCAAAACTGCCGTGAAGAGCCCCAAAATCACCATGAGGAGCCCCAAAACCGCCTCAAAGACCCCCAAAACCGCCTCAAAGACCCCCAGGATCACCATGAGGAGCCCCAAAATCGTTTTGGAGACCCCCAAACCCACTCCAAGGATCCCCAAAATCGCTCCGGGGAGCCCCAAAATCGCTCCAAGGATCCCCAAAATCGCTCCGGGGAGCCCCAAAATCGCTCCAAGGATCCCCAAAATCGCTCCGGGGAGCCCCAAAATCGCTCCAAGGATCCCCAAAATCGCTCCGGGGAGCCCCAAAATCGCTCCAAGGATCCCCAAAATCGCTCCGGGGAGCCCCAAAATCGCTCCAAGGATCCCCAAAATCGCTCCAAGGATCCCCAAAATCGCTCCGGGGATCCCCAAAATCAGTGCCCGGACCCCGCCGAGGAAGAAGCAGAGGCCGGGGCCGGCGGGGGCTCCCCAATTTTGGGGGGTCCCGGGAGACCCCCCGGGCCCGGGGCGTACCTGCAGAGCCTGGAGAGCAGCAGCCGGCGCTGGCTGCTGGCAGCCAAGGGGACAGGGGACACCGCGGCCACCAGGGCCACCAGGGGGGCCACCAGCGGGGACAGCGGTGACAAGGACAGAGGGGACATTTGGTACAACCCCATCCCCGAGGATGAGGACGATGAAGGCACCGGAGGGGAGGTGACACCGCCCCAGGGGTTGGGGACAGCGGAGGGACGCGCCCCGCAGGAGGAGGAGGAGGAGGAGGAGGAGGAGGAGGAAGGGGACGGGCAGGGACGGGCCGGCGGTGAGTGGGGACAATGGCATGGTGTCACCTCCCCGGTGACATCGCCAGCCCGGGGGGCGGGGGGGGCATGGGTGTGTCCTCATTGTCCCCAGTGTCCCCTCAGCCCCAATGTCCCTGTCCCCAGTGTCCCCTGAACCCCAAAGTTCCTGTCCCCAATAACCCTGTCTTCAATGTCCCCAATGTCCCCAATGTC